TGGTCCAGCGGGGCAAGGGGAGGCTAGGGAGAGAAGGTTTCTTAAGCCTGTGGTGACTTCGTCAGCTGGCTCTGATGTTTATCGTTTGGAGGATTGCTACCTTCATGGTAATCCATCCCACCCCTACTCAACAGTTAGCAGAGCAGAGACAGACAGACATTACCCCCAGCTTCTGGCTGGGACCCTGAAACAGGCTGAGGCTGGCGTGGGTTCTCCTCAATCCAGCCAGGAGTCCACACTGGGCACCCCTCCCCTCCAGGTCCAGATCCTGAGACCTGTAAGAAGATCCTATGTTATGGGTTGAGGTATCCCCTTTGCTTGACCGCAAGCTTTGGGGGTTTCCTGCCTCATTTTCCTTTCTCCCTCCCCCAGGGTACCACCCCTCCACCTTCTGTGTGAGTTGAGGGTAGCGGGAAACTAAGACACAATGATTCCCTTTCCCCAGGACTTGAAGAACAGCTGCTCACTGCTGGGGGGCCAGGCTGTGGGACAGCAGACAACTAGTGTGCTCAGATTCCTGACCTAGGACGTATTATCTATCGAGGGATTTTACTGGAGGCCTGGGAAGACAGAGCAGTGGGAGGGAACGGACTTGGGGGGCCACACTCTATATGCCAGACTGTAAGGAAGCCCCTCTCCATCCCTTTCTGAATGACTTTGTCTCCCTATCTGTTTCTTTTTTCTCTGTCTTTGTCTCTCTGCATCTATTTCATTCCTTGTTCTTTCTTTTTTTTTTTTAAAGATTTTATTTATTTATTTGAGAGAGAGAGAATGAGAGATAGAGAGCACGAGAGGGAAGAGGGTCAGAGGGAGAAGCAGACTCTGCTGAGCAGGGAGCCCGATGTGGGACTCGATCCCGGGACTCCAGGATCATGACCTGAGCCGAAGGCAGTCGCTTAACCAACTGAGCCACCCAGGCGCCCTCCTTGTTCTTTCTTTATCTCTCTCTTTTTCTTTGTCTTCTTGGCTTTGTGTTTTTCTCTTTCTCTCTGTACCCCCCCCCACACCTGTCTTTTCCTTTAATTCTCTCTCTTCCTATGTGCGGGGTTTTTTTGCGGGGGCGGGGGTTGCTACGCATGTGTTTATCTGTATATTTCTGTGTCTCTCCATGTCTGCACTCTGTCTCTTTCTTTCTTTGTCTATGTTTCTCTCTCCCTAAGTCTCTCTGTCTGTTTCTCTCTCAGTTCCCTTTGGGTGTCTGTCTCTCCATTTGGCTCTTTTTGTGTGTGCACATGCCCATGTCACCCTCTCTCTCTGCCACTCCTCTACCAGGCTGGCCACCATCCCTGGCCTTCTCCAGCTGTGAACGGCTCAGGGGGGCAGGAGCCCCAGAGGCAACTCCCAGAGGTGCCAGGTGGGGCCTGGGAGCCACCGCAAGGGGATGGGCTGCCCCTGCTCACCGTCATTGTCGCTGCCTTTGTCCTGATGGCTGTCTGTATTGTGGTGGCAGTTCACTTTGGGCCAAGACTACATCAGGGCCGTGCCACTCTCCCCACAGAGCCCCCAACCCCAAAGCCGGAAGACGGCATCTACCTCATCCACTGGCGAGTGCTGGGCCCCCAGGACAGTCATGAAGATGCCCAGCGGAAACCTCCTGTCCCTGGCTCCTGCCCTGTGCCGGATGGGCCTAAGCTCAGCATTGGTGAAGTCACATGTCTGTAGGAGGGAGACTTTGAAAAGTTGGACGGACCTGGCTCAGAACAAGGAACCGGACAGAGAATTAGGGCACAAGCAAATTGGGGCCTGGACATCAGAGCTTTGGAAATGCACACATGGACTCAGCTGGAGCTGCTCTCTCTGCAGAATATTTATAGAGAAAACGCTGATGTGGACAGAAGAAATAAAAGAAGCTTGAGGGCTTTGCCTGGAAACACGCTCCTGTGAGCATTGCTAGGGCCCAAAGCTGCCCTTACAAAGTGACTCCCTGCTTTTCAGGGACCATCAGATCCCTGACCCTCCTTTACCAAGTCCTTACCTCCTCCTCTCACCCCTAATCTCCTTTGCTTTTGGTGTCAACATGAGTCCAGCTTGCAAGATTCCCCCACCCACTGCACCCCTGTGCAGGGATCTCAGAGTCTCCCTGTAGAGGGCCTGCCCCCAAAGCCCCCAGGTCCTGTGAGGGCTAGTCAGGGAGAGCCACGGCAAAGAGCCCAGGGGTCTGCCTTCTCTGGTACTCAGGAAGAGAAGGAAAATCTGTTGCCCTTCACCAATTGGAAGACATCCCTTTGGCTGTTGGAGCTTATGCCTCGTCAGCAACTTCCAAGGCCCTTGTAAAGCCCCAAGCACCAATTATAGCTCCCCACATTGCTTTTGAATGCCTCTTACTATGTTGGGGCAAGATTTTGTCTTGCCTTCCCAAGATGGGATGGGGGGAGTTTGGGGGCCCTCATTACGTCCCCTTTTTTGTGTGTACCAGCCGGTTGGAACCAGCCTAAAACTTATCCCATGACATTGCCCAAATCCAGAACCTTCCAGCTGGTGGGAAAACAAGAAAGGAAGAGGAGCTCTATGCAGCTTGTCTAAGGGAAGGAAGGAGTGAGGAGAGGTTTTGTAGGGGGGGTGGGCATGGAGGTAAGATGCAGGAAGGCAGAGCTGAGCCTCCGGGTGGCTCTCTGGAAAGTCACCCTCTCCCTGACACGTCTGCACCTCACTGAGGTGCAGTCGAGAACGTAAGGATAGGCATTTATGGAGGGGCCTCTGTGTTCTTTACCCTGGGGAACACCTGAGGACAGCCGATGCACCCTGGTACTGGCCTTGGTGAGACCCTAGGACAGTCAGGAAGGCGAGGATAGCAGACGATGAAGAGGAACAGAGGTGGAGATTGTAATGTGTTCAGAGGACTGACCTGCCTCCTTCGTGAGAGGCACCTATAATGTTCATTGCTGCTCCTTCTTGCGGCCCAGCCCTGTGCCGGCCACCCAGCTCATCTGCCGACCTGTGGCTATCAGACCGTTCACTCCCCATAAAAGCTTGGGAGGAGGAGCCGCTCTTGTCCCCATGTTACAGTGGAGGATATCAAGATCCCCAGGCGGACGCGGGTACTAAGTGGTGAAGTCAAGATTTGAACCTGAGCTGTCAGACTCCACAGCCTAAGCACCAAGTTGGGGGCTGGATGGGTGGGGGAGGGCCATTTTGGAAAGGCCCTTGATTCTGCCCTGGTTTCTAGGCACAGGAATGATTGATGTAATGTTGGAGGAGCCTCGGGCCTTGGGGGCAGAATGGCTGGGACAGCTGTGAAGAAGAGATTGTGTCCCCCTTTACTCCTTAGGCTTTGGCATTCCTTGGGAGCAGTTGGTTCCTTCTGGCAAATGTGTGTCTGTCTGTTGAGCCTTTCTCCACGGTGATGCTGTACACAGAAATTCGTACTGAGCTTTTGTGATAAAAACAGAGGTGAGGGGCACCTGGCTGGCTCAGTCAATAGAGCCCACAACTCTTGATCTTGGGGTTGTGAGTTTGAGCCACATGTTGGGTGTAGAGATTACTTTAAAAAAATTTAAAACAAAACCAAACCAGAGGTGGGAGGTAGGGAATAAGTCATGGGTAGAACAGAAGGAACTGGTAGAAATGGGCTGCCTGCCCTCCCAAATAGGCCACTACAGCGTTGTAATGGCTCGGTTCTAACAGTGATGGCATAAGACACAGCAGGTGCCCGGCTGTGTTGTCCAAGGTCTCCCAGAGTATATCCTGTCTCCTCACACGAGGCCACCCCCCCCACCTCTTACCCCTTTGCAGGCTCTATCATCCAGGGACATTCATCCTGTGGCCCCTGCTCCTTTGAGTAGCCCCTTGTCCTGGATGCGGCTTTGTGCCCCTCATGGCATCAGCGTGCCTGCTCAGGCAGCTCTGTATTCCCCAAGCCTCTCACTAGAGACAAGGGCCCTGCAAGGGCATGCAGACACCGTGGGGCATGCTACCCTCTATGCCCTCAGCCTGATTCCTGGGCTCTGTCCACAGTGAAACCATACCCACCGCTGCACTGCCCTGTCCTAGAATAAGGAGGGGGGTCTAAGGAAGTATGTCTGTGCAAGTGGATTTGGACATTTCAGATAGTAAATGCCAATCACTTGTGTCAGTCAGAGTCCAGCCAGAGAAAGATGGCACACTCAAATAGGTCATCTGAGCAGTGTTGAAAAAGGGGGTTGTTTTGGGGCACCTGGGTGGCTCAGTTGGTTGAGCATCTGATTCTTGATTTCAACTCAGGTCATGATCTCAGGGTCAGCCTCCCCCACATACACCCATGCATGTACTCTCTGAAAAAAAAATTAAAAAAAATAAGGGGGGCTGTTTAGAAAGGGCAGGTATAAGGAAACCACAAGTGAGAGTGAATGCTCCAGAGGGGACATTAGCAGGAAACCAGGACCGTCGCTAGGTCTCAGCAGCATGGGGAAGGGACGGGTAATGGAACCTGGGGAGAGATAACGGAGAACATGGCAGAACCATGACTTTAGGTCGGAGATGCAGAGAGCCCACAGTGACGTTGGTACTGCAGGGAAGGATCTGGGGGAATAACTACCCCAACCTCACCCCCCTCCTTCCCTCTATTCTTCTACTGGGGCTTCCCGTGGACTGAACATGACCGGAATTCAGAGAGCAAGGGAGCCTGTTGATGCCATCCCAGGGCAGAGGAGGCAGAGAGGGGTAGAGAGTCAGTCTGGAGGGTCCAATGGAAGACACCCGACACATCCCTTAAGTTTACCTGGCATTTAGAGTTTACAAAGATGTTCCATACAGTCATAATCCTCACAACAACCCTGTGAGGTAGGGAGGACAGTAATTATAATCCCATTTCATAGATGATGACACTGAGGTTCAGAGAGGCAAAACAACTTGCCTAAGGTCATCTTGAGATGTTAAGTTCAAGGACCTTCTCTGAGAGGCTCCCTGTGGGAGCTAGTGGTTCTGCTGGGCATCCAGCTGCTGAGGAAAGCCCTTTAATCAACAGTCTTGTGGATCCAGAGTCTTGGGGAGCACTGGGGGTTCAGGCCAGCAAACCCGGAGCCTCAGGAGATATCCGTGCGGAGTGGGAGAGGCTGTTCCAAGCCACTGATGAGGAGCTTGGGCTCCTGGGACAGCGTAGAGGAACTGGGTACAATCGAGGTGTCCAGGCTGCCCATAGTGACCTCCCTTTCCTCCTGCCGCAAGTGCTGGAGAATCTTTTGGGACAGGGAGAAGCTGCTTCCCTCTGCATGTTCTGGAACAAGGATGGGGAAGGCGGGGAGGAGTGCAGTGAGGACCTCTTAGGTTCTCACGTGAACATGCCTTGAGACTTGCTGGGCAGATCCTCCAACCCTCCCTCTCCCTCACCTCCCTGCAACCCTCCCCACCCCTGGCCCCTGGGGCTAGAGTTTCCTGGAATTCTGGAGCTAGAAGTGGTTTCAGAGATAACAGAATTCAACCTCCTCAGTCTTAGAGATGGTGCTCAGAGAGGGGCACAGACCTGCCGCTGAGGCTGCAGCCCCGGTCTCTTTGTCCGGAGCCTGGGGCTCTTCTGCTTCTTCTGGCAATCCCTAGATGAAGTCAGGGGCTCCTAGAGCCCATCTCTTCACACTCCACCCGGGACCCATAGCCAGGTACCCCAGAAAGCAACTGAGTGTCCTAGGTGGAGAGGTAGGACCTCTTCCGGGGGAGGAAGGAGCCGGGCTCGAATGCCTTGACCACTTGGGAAGGCCCAGGGCACGGTGTTGCTCTAGCTATTTCTAACCCCTCGGGACACCTGCCTCTTCCTGCCTGGTAGCCTACCCAGCTCTCACCTGAGTAGACAATGAGGCGGCAGTTGTTCTGCGACTCAGGGGCATCTGCCAGGATGTCTTCCAGTATCCGGCAGAAGAGTTTGGCCTGCTCCAGCCGATCCTGCTGGCTAAAGCCAGCTCGGCCGTCCTGGGACATGGCAAAAAGCGTCTGCAAGGGGGTGGCGTACTCCAGGACACAGATGCCCACCTGGAGAAGGCGAGAGGAACACAAGACTCAGCCAGGGCCAGGGCAGACAGACTCTGGGTCCTGGTGCCACTGCTAGGGCCCTGCTCCCTCAGCCTGTAGAGATGGCGTTCTGGGAGGTGGTTACCCTACTGGGATCTATGGTGTCTGGTGGCCTTTGCTCCGAAAATCAGCACCGGGACTGTGCTAAATTTATCCTCCTTCTCGGATCCCAGGGCAAGGCCCACGGAGTCACCTGCTGTCAACTGCTCCTGGGGGCTGGGCTCTGGGGTTCAACCCTGGCCTGGGTTTCCCCCCACCTATGTGAGATCTTTCAGATGTTCTCACATCTTGGTCTAGGACAGCTTTATGGCCAAGTGCGTGGCTTGTCAGGTTAAAATCATCCAATTTCTTCCTGGTTCTCTGAGTCTCAGTTTCCTCATCTGTAAAGTAGGGGACATAACAGTCCTCACCCCACAGGTGGCGGCGAGGGTTAGATGAGGTGGTCAGATGAATAGCATCTGGTATGCAGTAAGGGCTCAGTTAGTGTTACTGATCATTATCATCATTCAGAGCTGAAGCATGCCCAGCTGGGGAAAGTAAGGCTCAGAGAAGGGCAATGAATTTTTATCAGTGCTTGGCCAGGGGTCAGAATTCTGGTGCTCTGGGCCTGACTCCTCCTTAGCAGCACCCGCCTCCCCGCACACTCACCGGTTTCCCGTTTTCCAGAAGCTCATAGACGCTGTTGGTGTAAACCCGGCCCTTGATGCCAGCACGGTCAGCACTTTGCTGGGGCAGCTGATAGAGGAAGCGAATGTTGGAGTCGGCCACACTCAGGTCATCAGGCACCCCACAGTCCAAAGGGAAGAGGATGTGCAGCCGATGGCTCCGTATGCCCCGTAGCATGTTGGTCTGCAGCTGATTGTACATGCGTATCCGGGTTGGGAGCCCTGGGGTGGAGAGACCCGAGAAGTCATTCCTACAACCCTATCTCCCACCCAACCCAGGACAGAGACCCAGGTCATTGGTTCCCTCAATGTGTAGGTGCAGGAGAACCAAGGGTCCAGTCCACTTGCACTGTGCAGGAGCCAGGAGGAGCAGAGCATTCAGGAACACTCCCACCCCTCCCTCTACCTCACCACCTCTCTCTCCCCTCAATTGTCCTTTGTCCAGATTTCTCTGCTCACCCCACTCCTTCCCACCACAGCTTTAGGGCTCTGAGAGGCAGGAAGAGCCCTGGAAGGTGACATTCCCAGCAACCCCAGGTGCACGGGATCTGGCCTCTAGCTCCAGACCTGTTTCCTAGCAGAAGCTAGGTGACAAGGGCAGACAGCAATGAGATATGGGAGAACCACAGCCTTGGCCAGCAAGTCAGAAGAAATGAGACATGAGACATGGGCTCACAGTAGAGTGGTCAAGGATCCAGGCTCTGGACAGACCTAGGTTCAAATCCTGTCTCCTCCGCTCACGAAGCTGTATGACTTTGGAGAAGTCACTTCACCTCTTAGAACCACAATTTTCTTATATCTCTAAAACAGGGATGATGATTATCCCTTGCCCACAGGGTATGAATTAAAAGCGAAAATGCACACGAAGGGCGCAGAACATACAATCATATTCATTGGAAGAATTCATAGTTAACCTGAAAGAAGTCACTTAGTGGCTCTAAGTGCCATATTCCTCCCTGAAAACCAGGCATAATAACATCCTTCATGCCTACAGAATTGCTTTGCAAATCAAATGATTCCTGAGGAATAAAAATGCTTTGAAAAATACAGCAGGTTCTAGAAACGCAAGTTTTATGTCTTATTGTCTGTCGTGAAGATCTAGAAATAGGGGCGTAGAGAATGGCTCACCTGGCAGGATCAGCCGCAGGTACCCAATGTAATATGACCATGCCAGCCCATGGGCCACGTTGAAGTTCCTTTTTTCACAGACTGCAGAGACCTCAGCTGGGGCTAGGGCCTGTAGACAGCAGGGTGGGCCTGGGGAGCCTCCATGAAGGATAACCAGAGCCCTCCTCCTCAAGATTTCCCAACCAGTTCCAGCTTGCTCCCTTCTCTGACATTGACCTCCCATTGTAGGACATTATAGGCTCTACTCTAAGGGCCGACCTCTAGACTCATCCCACTCCTGATACCGAGCTCAGAGTAGGACACACGAGCTGCTGCCTCCACTTGGCTACACCCTCCGCCTCCCTCTGTGTCTTACCTGGAGCTCCAGGAGGATGTTCAGTGCCTGCGAAAGGCCCAGGAGTGCAAGCGTCCAAGGGAAGGGCCAGCCAGCTGGGTTTGGGAGGGAGCCATAGAAATAGCAGGACAGCAGCAGCAGGGCCCCACAGCGAATGGGGCAGCCCAGGCAAGCACGCATAGCCCTCCAGGAGCTGCCCTGGTACCTGCAGGGGACAGTCAAGCTCCGGACTCTGGCCCAGCTCCTCCTGAGAGATTCAAGGAGGGGCAGGCCTGGGGGTCAAGAGAGAAAGACATGTGGGGTGCCCAGTTGCCATGGGTAATGGAGTCACCTGGAATGGAGGTGGCACAGCTCCTCAGTCAGATGGCAGACCCCCTTGAAGAGCAGTCCCAGCTGCAGGGAGGCCAGGTGGAGCACCAGCCATTGGAGAATGTGTTCTGGTGGCTCCCCCAGCCCCCAAAGGGCTGCCAGGCAGACGGCGAACAGGACCAAGGCTGCCTTCTGGGCCCTGGTCCCCCTGGGCCGCGGGATGGATGGGTGCAGGCTAGAGTGGGGCATCTGTGGGTACCAAGAAACCCATTGCTGTTATCTATCCTCTCCCTCTCCTACCACTTCGGGACAGCTCTCTTTCTTCCTGGTGCCCAGCCAGAGTCAGAGGCTGGAGATGCCTCTAGGGGACAGGCTGAGCACATAGCATTCCAGCGCTCCTGTCCGGGAGAGATTTGTTGAAAAGGGAGCAGGGGGAGAAGTGCATGCGCCCACACATCTACAGCCTACCCAACCCCAGGAAGACCACAGGTGTAGAGAAGAAAGAAGGCAGTGACTGTCCCAGACCCAGACCTGAAAATGTCCTGTGAGGTGCCACCCACCTAGGGACTGTTGGGAACCTGGGCTTCCCTCTCCCCCAAATCCACCCCAGGGAAGACCTTAGTCAGCAAAGGTGACACCACAGTCTGCGGGTGCAGGCAGGGCAGACCCATCTCTGGGTCTCCGGGGGCCTCAGCCTCGGAGCCTATGCTCCACTCTCCTGATCCTACCTACCTTCTACCTCTGAGACTGCAGGTTGTTTCTGGAAGATGACAGGGAGAGAAGGTCTAGTGCAATGGCTCCCAGGGACCAAGGCCAGCCTCTCTGCGTAAGGCCTGAAAACAAAATGTTAAAAAACAGTCTAAACTTTCTCCACAACATTCTAGCCCTGGCATTTCACCAGACCACAGCTTAGGAGAGGAGGGTATTTCCTGCTCCCTGGGAAGGGAGGAAGGGCCCTGATGAGCTATGCCCCAGTCTTGGTATGGGGAGGGCAGCTTGAGGAGGCCCTCATTCCGTTGCCCTTTGCTCCCCCTCACCGTCCCCTGTGGCCACAACCCTGAACACCTCAACCCCCAACGATCAAACAGATTCTTCAACACCCAGGCAGGACTCCACACACTCCCAGACAAAGGCAGAACACACACCACACCACACTGACCTGCCTGATTTTTATTCTGATTTCGAGACGCAGATCCTCTTTTTCTGAAAACTGTGGTATCAGGAAGGAGGAAGGAGAATGAAAGTTATTTCCTGTAACAGCAGCCTTTTGGGTAAAAGGTTTTGTAGTAGCAGAGAGTGTTCAGGGGAGTGGGGGTTTGGCTTGCCCCAGGAAGTAGCCACGCCTCTGACTTCTCAGAGAGAACCCGGTGATTCTAGCCAAAGAAGCAGTCTTGGGGCACCTCACCATCAATCATCATCATAAAGTGTTTACTATGTTCCAGATATGATGCTAAGTGTTACACACAGTATGTTACTTAATCCACTGAGCCACTCTGGAACTTAGATATAATATTATTCCCCACTTTACAGGGGACCCATCTGAGGCTCAGTGTGGTGAATGGCTTGCTCTGTGCCTTCCCTGCTCGGGAAGGGGTAGGAGGTACCAGGACCAAGTTTCATGCCTACGGGTTCTCCTGGGGTGGCCGGGAGTGTCTCTGAATGCTCTCCGGCAAACTGAGAAGCTGATTTGATTTGAGGATGGGGCAGGCCTAGAGGGGGGATTGGGGTGGCTCCCACAGGGCAGCAGCAGTTCATTCCAGCCCAGGTCAGAGAGTCTTCGCCTGGACCCTTCCCCACATCACAACCAGAAATAAGGTGGGTGACACACGCATTCATAGATGACACTGGTCTCCCAGGAACAAGGCTTCCTGAAAATTCTTGTTTGTGAAAATCACTTCCTATAAATGGGGGAAGCCCCTACAACTTCTCTTCCCTACAAGTGGCTCACAGAGGAACCCCCTGAGGTGAGCAAGGAAGGGCTCAGCCACATCAAAACCAAAGACAATCAAGGGTGCCCAAAAGAAGGCCTGAGTAGAGTCCTCCCAGCTCCAAGAGCCAGCTGTGCCAAGTAGCCGAGGGCCTCCAGGCTACGGAGGACCCACTCCCCCAGGGGGCCCTGCGGTTGCCTGCTCTGCGGCTCTACACTGGTCATTGTTTCCCCCAAACGTGTTCTTCATCCCATCCCTTCCTTCAGCCCATCTCCCTAAAATAGAATTTCCTCTATTTTTAAGGGCAGGTTGGCCCTATGCCTCAGAAGCCTTAAAAAACACACCTGTCATCACGGACCTAGCAATCCACTTCCAGGAACACTTCGTCAAGAAATAATCAGACAAGGGGTGACTGGGTGGCTCAGTCGGTTAAGCATCTGACTTAGGCTCAGGTCATGATCCCACAGCCCTGGGATCGGGCCCTGCATCGGGCTCCCTGCTCAGTGGGGAGCCTGCTTCTCCCTCTCCTGCTGCCCTTGCTCATGCTCTCTCTCTCTCTTTCTGTCAAATAAATAAATACAATCTTAAAAAAAAGAAGAAGAAATAATCAGACAGGGGCACAAAAATGCCTATTTTTCAGATGTTCGTAGCAGTATTGTTTACACCAGAGAAAAACTGAAAGTTATCTAAATGCCCAACAATGAGGACTTGTTAACTAAATTGTAATTCATCTTACAGTAGAAGGTTGCGTAGGCACCAAAAATGAGATAATTTTGTATTCATGACCTTTTTTTTTAAAGATTTGTTTATTTTAGGGGGAGGAGGGGCAGAGGGAGAGGGAGGGAGAGAATCTCCAGCAGACTCCCCACCCCCCCAGGGCAGAGCCCAACATGGGGCTCGATCCCACAACCCTGAGATCATGACCCAAGCCAAAACCAAGAGTCGGACGCCCAACCAACTGAGCCACCCAGGCACCCCTGTATTTATTGACTCTTAAACATGCCTTTTATACATTTCTTACTGGAAAAAAAGCAGCATACAAGACAGTATAATTGCATTTTAAGAAATATATCTTGCATGAAAAAACGTCTGGAAGCACATATGTCAAAATGCCAACAATGATTACTCTATGCAGTAGGAATGTAGGTGGTTTTGGGGCGCCTGGGTGGCTCAGTCGGTTAACCATCTGCTTTTGGCTCAGGTCATGATCCCAGCATCCTGGAATCGAGCCCCGCATCGGGCTTCCTGCTCGGCGGGAGGCCTGCTTCTCCCTCTCCCACTCCCCCTGCTTGTGTTCCCTCTCTCACTGTGTCTCTCTC